AGAAAGAAAGAAAGAAAGAAAGAAAAAGAAACTGGACCACTATCTCACACCACACACAAAAATTCACTCAAAATTTAGTCTAAATTGGTTAATGACTTGGACATAAGACCTGAAACTATAAAACTCTTAGAAGAAAACATAGGTGGTAAGCTCCTTGACATTGGTCTTTGTAATGATTTTTTAAATTTGATGCCAAGTCAAAGGCAACAAAAATAAAACTAGACAAGTGGGACTACATCAAACTAAAAAGCTTCTGCACAGCGAAAGAAACTATCAGCAAAATAAAAAGGCAACTTGATGAATGGGAAAAAATATTTGCAAATCATATATCTGATACATAATTAATATGCAAAATATATAAGGAACTCATGTGACTCAATAACATAAAATAATCTGATTAAAAAATGGGCAGAGAACCTCAATAGACATTTTTCCAAAGCCATAGCCAATAGGTGCATGAAAAGACATTCAACATCACTAATCATCCAGTAAATTAAAATCAAAACCACAATGCGATACCACTTCATACCCGTTAGAATGGCTATTATTGAAAAAATAAGAAATAAGTGCTGGCAAAGATGTGGAAAAAAGAATCATTGTGCACTGTTTATGGGAACATAAATTGATGTAGCCACTATGGGAAAAAGTATGGCATTTTCTCAAAAAATTAAAAATCAAATTCCCATATGATCCAGCAATTCTGCATTTGGGTAATTATCTGGAGAAAATGAAAACACCAACTTGAAAAGGCACAGGTATCCCCGTATTCTTTGCTGTGTTATTTACAATAGCCAAGACATGGAACAACTTAAGTGTCCATCCATGAATGAATGGATAGAAAAGAGCTGATACACACACACAAGAATATTATTTCAGCCGTAAAAAAAAAAAAAAGGAACAAAATCTTGTCATTTGCAACAACATGGATGGACCTTAAGGCATTATGCTAAGTGAAATAAGTCAGACAGAGAAAGACACATACTATATAATCTCACTTATATCTAGAATCTAAAAAACAAAACAAAAACCTCATCGAATTGGTGGTTGTCTGAGGTAGGAGGTGAATGGTGGGCAAAATGGGTAAAGGAAGTCAAAAGGTACAAAATTCCAGTAATAAATAAGTCATGGGGATGTAATGTGCAGCATGGAAATTATAGTTAAGAATACTGTATTGTATATTTGAAAGTTGCTAAGAATAAATCCCGAAAGTTTATAAGAAAAAAATTCTGTAACAATGTATAGTGATGGATGGTAACTAGAATTATTGTGGTGATCATTTCACAATATATACAAATTTCAAATCACTATGTTGTACACCTAAAACTAATATAATGTTGTATGTCAATTTTACCTCAACTTTTTTAAAAAGGACCAAAATTAATTTCATCTAATGAGGTCAGATTATCCCTAAATCTATCTAAAACAAGGACCACATCCAGATCAGTCCTGGCCAAGTCTATGGACTACTCTCACCATAGTGCTTCTATGACTAATTATTTAGACAAAATATATACAGCTAGATCTACAATGTTTCGCTCCCTGTCATCCATTTTCATTGCTAGAATGTAGTACCATCTTGTTATGTACTGAATTTCTGTATTATCTTCTACTGTGCCAATCTCACATTGCATACTGTTACTCAAATCCTGTTCAGGTCAGGCATCATTGCTATGTAGTCCTAGGCACCTTAAACTTTCTTCATTTTAACATCTATTATGCTCTTTTGTTACTGCTATTTACTTGTATATATCTCACACCAGACTTTAAACTCCCTGAGACCAGAGATAGCATTTAGCAGCACCCTTATGAGCTCTCAACAGATGTTTATGATAGATTAAATGAATGAATTAATGAGTAGAGTCTTAATACAGAAATCAATACTTACCAGTAAAGTTCTAAAAGGCAAACAGATTATACTCAAATCAGGAAAACTCTAGGACAGTTTTCGTTTGTGTGTTTTTACAAAAGAAAGAATCACAATGGTATAGACAGGACATGGAAAATTACAAAGGGACAACGTGAGAATCTGGGAGTCTCAAAGGAAGATTCGTTGCCACCCTTAGGCTCAAAGCAACAAAGTAAAGAAGAGAGCCTAGGAAGAAAGAGACTTAGAATAGGTCAACCTATATGTAGTAGTGATTATTAATCAATGAATAGAGTCAGTGGGAGACTACCTCCCAGAGAGGAAACCAGAGGAATATATGTCTTGATCTCTTTCTCCATTTCCCTCTGGTATTTTCTTGCAGCTTTCCACTGGCTGGAAAAGCCAAAAGGCATAAGAACCTCTACCTACAGTCCTTACAGGTCAACTCATGAGGTAGCAAGCAAGACAGAAAAAAAGTAAAGAATGGACCTAGAGGGAAATGAGATACCCGTGCAGCCTAACATTTACAACTGAGATCTGGATCTTTCCAACCATATCTTTTAGCATTCAGTTTAGTGAATGAAATCTCCCAAGTATGTTTCCTCATGTTTTTTGCTAGAAATACTTCTGCCTTTCTCCCCACAAATAAATGGATTAATCCTTCAAGACCTTATCTTCAAATGGAGTTACACTGGGAATTAGAGTTTCAACATATAAACATGGGGGGATCCAATTCAGTCAATAACATATATAATCTCATTTAATTTTCAAAACAACCCATGAGACATATCCACATTTTACAGATAAGAGAACTGAAGATTAGAATTCATTTTACTTTTCTTTGTCCTTATAGATAAGAAGTGATATAATCAGAATTTAAATTCTAGCCCATCTTATTCCAAAACCTATTACTTTTTAACCACTCCCTGCTATTACTATGACTTGTGTGGCTATCCCATCAAGCTCCCATGTGGGAAGGAGCCATGCCCTGTTATTTCTAAACTGTAGCACCTTATATAGTGTCTACTCTATAAGAGACATTCCATAAATGTTCCTAGAATTAAATATGAATGATACAGAAAAAACAAAAAAAGGCTCATAGTTTCAAAGCATATTTATCAACTGTAAATAATAGAAAAATACAAAATAAAAACAAAGGAAAATCAGGCGAAAGATAAGTACAAGAAACAGTCATTTCTCTTCCTAGATATGCAGGTTTACTTTGATCCATGTCTCTCAGCTGGATTCAAGTTAATATTTCTTTTCTACTCACTATTTTGCTCAGAGCCATGAGATCAGCTTCTTCTTTTTTTTTTTTGAGTTTCAAACAGTCAGTCTCCTTTTCCTAGCACAGTCTTCTCCTGAAGCAAAAACCTCTCTTTTGGAGCAAAGCTTCCCTCCTGAGGTTCTTTGTTCTGCCAGTGCTGAGTACCTTTGAGCTTCTCTCTGGAGCAGGTCTGGAACCAGTACCTCTCCCTTCTTTTGCACAGCTGTGCAAGTTGTCTCTTATCTTGGTTGCCCTTGCTGTGCTAGAGGCCCTGTGCAGTCATGTGCCTCTGTCTCAGCTCATTTCAAAAAAACCCCTCTGGCAAAAGCTGGTTGAATACCTAGGCAGTTTGACTTTTTTAAAGATGAAATTATTTTGATTTTTATATAGAACTAGTATCTTATTAAAAAGTGAATCACTCTCCTACAAGTAAGTCGACTTCTTCACAAGCAATGCAGACATAAGAATGGGCTTCAATGATAAGTAGAGAATGAATCCAATGATCATAAACTGTTAAGATTTAGAAAGATTTTAGACATCTTCAGACCAACTGCCTATCTAAAGAAGAAATCCCACTGTAACAAACTGGGAGTTAGGTGACCCGAACGAAAACCCTGTGTATTTTGAAAGAAAAGTCTGGTCTGTTCTGCATTGGACAGCTCTGTTAAAAGAGCTGCCTTAAATTAAACCAAAATCTACTTCTCTTGAAATTGTATTATTCATTACTGTACATGTCATCCTTGTGCAGGGGCCATGCTAATCTCTGTATTGTTCCAATTTTAGTATACGTGCTGCCGAAGTGAGCACTATTCATTATTTTAAATAACATTGGCTGACCCTGTGTTCAACTCACAGGCCCCTGTTGTAGGTGCTAGAATTTCTAGTCATTCATCTACCAAAACAATATGCAATAACTCCACCTACTTGTCTGTATTGTCAATTGAGAGCTCTAAAAAATGAAGTTGGAGCAGAAGAAGGTAGAGAGCCCATTGGTGAGAAAGTGGAATAATTTTCACCTGATGGAAATAGAAAGCCATAGAATAGTACATCAAACAAGGATAGGAAGAGAGAAGACATTTGGGTGTAGGTGGCCAGAGCTTGGGTTGGGTGTGAACCGCAGCGTGAGCAGGAGGTGAGAGGCAGATGCAATAAACAAAATAAATTTTCCCCAAAGTTACAGATAAACTACAAAAGTAGAATATGTATTGGAATGGAAGGCAAAATAAATCTCCACATAATTGTAGATCTTGAAATGGGAATATTTCATAACTCTTTTCCATCTCTCTCTTTTCACACAATAACAATATTCCATTTGTTCTGTAGGGCTAGACCTACAGAATATCCTGTCACTTGCTCCTCCCTTCAGCTCTCCCAAGCACCACATACTAAGAATATTGGTGGTTTCTGAAAGTAACAAGACCAGGAGGGTAGAGATAATATACCATGCTACCTGCCAGCCCCACCAGGACTGCCTTTTCCCATGATCATGTGGCTTTGTTCCATCTACTCAGTTATCCTCTCTGCCCCCTTTCTTTACAGAAATAGATACAGATAAAAGAGGGCATGTACTGAATGGAGCACTGGGTGTTATACGCAAACAATGAATCATGGAACACTACATCAAAAACTAATGATGTAATGTATGGTGATTAACATAACATAGTAAAATTTTAAAAATGCAAAAAAAAAAAAAAGAAATAGATACAGATAAAGTGTTCCTATTGCCACCAAGGAGGAGTGGCCTTAATAGAGAGTAAGTCCTTATATATAATTCCTATCAGAAAAAAAAAAATCTAATGTTTCAAAACCAAAGTCATTATTTTGGGTAAAATTTACATCCTAGATACTGGATCATCCCCCATTACCATGAAAATATATTGGGGTATTATCAATCTTTTCCATTATCTATATTTATCTTACGGTCTATCTTTATCTATTACCTATAACTCTATTGCCCTCATGTATAACTTTAAGCACAAATAAACCTATTGACAAGATGTCCATGTGTCTATTGTCCTTTCTCTAATTCCTCAACCCCCATTTTCCTCTCAATCTACTCCATTCAAACCATTCCGACGAGCCATTTTCACTGAGGTCACAAATGACAGAGATGAATACTTCTTGTTTTTCTTTTATTTACATTTAGTTCATTTTTAAATGTAATAAATACTAATGCTACAACCTTTAAAAATGAGGTCTAAAGAAGGTCTAAAATGAACTTCCCTCCCCACCTCTAATCCTAACACCCAGTTCTCCCCTTTAAAGTAAATTGCTATGAAGTTTTTAGGTATGCATCTAGAGATATTTAATATGCATACAAGCATTTTTTACATTTTTTTTTCAAATGGTAGCATGAACTCTTCTTCTCATTTCCGTTTTTCATTTACTCTACCTTGGACATCATTTCAGCACATACAATTTCCTATCCTTATCAGCACATACGATTTCCTACCCTTCTTTGCCTCTCCAATGGGTGCTTTTACATTTTTATTTCATTGGTACCTTACTGATAGACATTTTGGTGTTTTTAATCTTTCACTTACAAATGATGCTACAATAATTAACTGTATATATATCATTTCACCCATGTTGGAGTTTACAGGATAAATTTTTGAATGGAATTTCTAAGTCAAGGAATATGTGTCTTTTTAAATCTTTGCTATATATTACTAAATTGCCCTTTATATAAGTTATAATTTATACTGTTTCCCAACACAGTTACCAATGCAGTGGTTTATTAGAATTGTCCACTTATTTACTTACATAGCTCCTTTCAAAATGTTATATGAACAGTAATTAAGTTAGTATATAGAATGATTTTCTGCAATCCCATTTCCTCTCTCCTTTACCATCAATTTTAGCAGATTAAAAGATCTTTCTACTTCTGTTATTAGATTTTTCAGAACTCCCACATCGGTCTGCCTATTAGTCCTGAAATCTTAATACTTAGTCTTCTGATGGTAGCCCTGCAATCAGAGCCTTACATTCTTAGCCCTACACTCCTAATGTTCTACACCAACCTTTCTCCGTAGTTTTTCTACTCATCTCTTTATTGCCTGAATATCAGCCTCCAGTAGAGTCTTCAGTAAGGCCTCATGGTAATTATATTATCGGATCTCTTGCATGTTCAAAAGTGTTTATTACCCTTATCTTAGAAAATAGATGCCACTCTGCTAAGTTTTAGTGTTGACTATTACCATGGAAAAGTCTGATTATAATCTCAACCATCATAAAATACAGAATGACTTTGACCAGATTGCTTGGTTGCTCACATGTATGCATGCATAAATAAATGAATGAATAAATGAACAAATTAATGAATAAGTAGACAAACAAATAAATGAAGCTATTGACGTCCACATGTATTGGGGAATACAAACTCTCTCTGGAATTGTTTTGCTGCTCCTGCTGCTGCTGTCGGTGTTGAAATATATACTCTCAGATCATGTTTCCATGAAAATGGGCATCCATTAAATACATCATTCAAAGCCAAATAACAAATATTAAGCAATGGATACTCAAGCATTATACATTTAACATTCTAAAAACAAAAACAAACAAACAAACAAAAAACAACCAACAAATTCCATTCCCTTGGAATTCTGGTTGTTAAATGAATTGATGTATAATATAATTTGGGATTTCTGTCACAAAGATTTCATAAGCTGTCTGTCCCATGCAATGAGTCTGCCCTGAGCCAAGCTAGGTTTCTGCCTTAGATAAGGTAAGACCCGATGTGGGACTTGATCCCAGGACTCCGGGATCATGACCTGAGCCGAAGGCAGTCGCTTAACCAACTGAGCTACCCAGGCGCCCTATAGTCTATCATCTTTAAAGCACCTTCAGTGTGTCTTCAATGTGAATGGACTCATTGTTCTTTGAGACGTAATTATTGGATACCCAGCTTTAATATTCATTAAAGACATAATGACTGATGTCAGTCAACTGTAAAATCTTTAGTGAGACATTACATACAAATGTTAGCTAATTTTACTGAGTACTAAGTGTTTAGTATTGTACTAAGCTCTTTAACACATTTTATAGTTGAATGGTTTAGTACGTATAATCCCAACAGCAAAACTAGGATAGAATACTCACATTTTACAGAGGAGGAAATTGAGTCCCAGAAAGGTTAAGTAACTCACATAGGATCACAGCTAGAGAGGAGCAGAGCCATAATGTGAAGCACAGCGTTCTGACTCTAGAACCCAAGCACTTTACTACTACTGTTAACACAGCCACCCAGCTGATGTCTGGAATAAGTGTTACTAATATACCTTTCATAGTGTCTGCATTTGATATCAATGAGAGAGGGATGTTTGGGCTTATCACTGGGCCCACAGATTTCCTTATTCTGGCTCATACTAGCAACATTAAAACAATGATGAATCCAGTAAAACTGGTGCACTGGAGTCAAAGCAGTTATTTAGTGTTTGCAGCTGTTCGAATTTTTTACTTTCCAATCCATTGTTTAGGCATAATATTAATATCCCTAGAGAGATTGTTAAGGAATAAAAGGTGGGCATGTGTGTGCACACACACTACACCCCCCGCCTACACACACAGACTTTTGAGAATGGTATTATAAATTCCAGATCTGTGCAAAGCTCTTTTTATGCTTCAGATTATGTAGAAGGTGAGACTGGAGTGTGACCTGATTGTCTGCTTGCTTTGCCTCTCACCTGTGCTCCTTGGGAAACAATAGTAACAGCATTATTATCACATCCTCATGCTTTTCAGCTTAGGGTGTGATAAAGTTGCAGTGAGTGCAACTTCTGGGAGAATAAAACTTTTGTTTCTTCCCTACTAATTTGCAAAAACAAATAAAAGCAAAACAAAACAGAAGAAACTTGAGTGAGTTGCTTTGAAAAATATGCTCCAATACAGAAAACTTAAAAAAAAAAAACATGGTTATCAGGTGAAAAATAACACATTTGAATAAATATTTATGTATGTTTTCATAGTTTTCTGGCTTATGCTCCTTCATGTACCTTGCAGGCAGTTAAAGAAACAACTATAAATCATAAATAAGGAATAAAATGAACTCTATGATAAAGTATCTGATTACTCCATTACGGAAATCCAGCTTAGCAATCATCCTTTCCTTCCCAGTATATTTCCATAAACAATCCAAAACAAACCTGCAGGATTTATAGACTGCATTTAATATAAATGAAAGTGGAACGATGCACAGAACTTGCAAGAAATTAATTCATATTTTTCTCTAGCAAAAAAAAAAAATAGTGTATTGGGAAAACAACACATTCCTAAGGAAAAACACCAAGGAAGAATTTTAAATAACTTGATATAAAGAACATAGGGTGTTTTTGCTGGCGATGACCCAAACTGAAAGCTAATGGACTAAGAATTTTAGTATTTTTTTCCTACCACTGGCTTTTGCATAAATTGAGAGATGTCATTTTGCTCTCTTTTCTTTAATGATAAAAGTGAATAAATGAGCATGAGCCAGCCTAACTGAAAGGAGGACAAAAATGAATGTACTGGAAACCAAAATGCTTAGTTTTGGCTGAGAAATGCATTTTTAAAATAATCTATGAGAGCTACAGAGCTTTCATATTGTAATTAGAACTCCTATAATAGATCATACAATAGAACTCTGTTCTTTCCTTCATCCATATATATTTGGTCAAAACTATGACTTTATTATTCCTCTTTCTCTTAGGAAGTCTGGATCCCCATATTCCCTTATGTTGGAGAATCTTCTAGACATCTTTACCTCTATGCAAACCTTCTGTGACTAACCCTGCATACATCTCATCCATTATGGGTATTCACTCTCCGAATTT